GGGGGGGGGGGGGGGGGGGAGAAAGTTAGCGAGAGACAGGGAGATAGACCCACACGCTGCGCGGGGCGGGGGTTGTTTACTGCATGGCAATGGTTGGTCCCTGTCAGGACGAGTGTCTTGCGTGAACAGTACGCACTCACAGACAAACATGAAATAAAAGTGCCTGTGGGTGTATGAAATCTTAGACATCACGAGTTCCTATGGCATTTATGCAAACCAATAAATGAGACAGCATGTATAAAGGGTGATGTGTTGTGTTTGCACCTGTTTGTTCATCAGATGCTGACATATTCTACCTACCTACAGCAACCTTATCCTATGCATCATATCATGTTCAGAACCTCCCTATATTGCCTGAAATTCATCTGACGCTTATCTGACGCCTATCTGTCGCATCACCCTCCTATCTGACGCCTATCCGCTGCCTATCCGCTGCCTATCCGCTGCCTATCCGCTGCCTAGGTCTATCTGACGCCACCTGGTGTCCTTTCGGATCCCTGGGTTTTGAAGGCCCAGCTATCTGACGCATGTGTGGGGTATGCAGGGGTGTTTCAAAACTGAAGGCGTTCGAAGGCCCACCCATCTAACGCTACCCTATCCGCTGCCTATCCGCTGCCTATCCGCTGCCTATCCGCCGCCTATCCGCTGCCTATCCGCTGCCTATCCGCTGCCTTATCTGACGCCTATCCGCTGCCTATCCGCTGGCCCTCTGCTCCAAGCCCAACTCCAGTTGTAGATAAACCCGAAACATATCCATAATTGGTATGTCGGAACCCCTCCGACTAAGGTGCTCCTTCCAAGCTGGCTACACATCTGCTGGCTCCTGGATCCGGCAGACTGATTGCTGCTTTTGCATCTCAGCATCTTGATTGTCGGGAGAGGCACAAGTCTAATTTGACAGAACACGACCCACATAGGATGACTTCTTGTACTTGACATTTTCCTTCACTTAGCAGAAGAGCCTAGTCGTTGTATATTTGCATTATTCATGGTCACGTGTCGCTGTCCGGGAAACCTTGGCTGTGTCACTGTGACACCACCAAAAAGTAGCCGTTCAGTGGCTATGGTAGCATGCTGCTAACACACTTGTGAACCTTAGCCCCGCAAAGCATATACTAGGATACTATATAGGGTGCATAGCTATAGTGCAGCGTGGAATCAGAGATTTCCTTCGTGTGCTCGCAGCCCGCTGGCTTCGAAGCCCAGTAACTACCCAAGACCCATAGAGACATAGAGACACAGCTATTAAATTCTGAAAGAGAACTATGTATCCGGCTAACCAGGGTTTGTGACATTTCTTGCCTACCTGCAACACCTGGATTTGGCATGAATAGGGAGCACTGCACTTGTACACACGCTGCAATCCTATGGGAACGGGTGTGTGGGCGACTCATCACGCTCAGGCTTCAGCTCATGCTGCATCTGCATATAGGCCCAAAGCACCGACTCCACTGAATCAAGCCTCAGAGAGACAGTTAAGATTCCTATGGGAAGGTTCTACAATTCTACATTTGGGATTTTGAGGGTTGGGGATCTCGTTGCAGCGGCAGAACTAATATACCGTGAATCGTGACCATATGCAACCAGAAACTCGGCATCATCCCAAGCATCCATCGTGAAGTCGACGATGCCGCAATCTGGTTTCGGCTTGCTGCAGGCATAGAGAAGGAACTTGTTCCGCACCTTCAGCAGGGCGAGCTGCGGGGTAACTACCGTCTATATACAACCTAGATGAAATCTCACCCAGCAATGTGTCATAGGTAGGGCTGATGGCCCCTTGCAAACCCTTTTCTTGACCCGAACAACCTTTGCCAGAAGCAAAAAAGATCCAAATGTCGTGACTCAGGGAACTTCTGCCGGCCACTGATATTGCACTGCGAGACGATGCTCGACGCTTGTGGCAGCAAAGGAATGCCTTAATGGTCTTTCAGTTTACTTAGAAAACACCTACCCCAAATAGACATGCAACCCGGATCCCCTATATGAATACAAATAGTGTTCCTACAGGCGTAGAAACCACAACCCTAGATCCCGGCTAAAGTGCCATATGTATTACGCAGGGAGTCTATCCTGGTCTACACAATTGCCTTTTTTAAATAGGAGCAACCGTAGGGATCTAGGCCAGACAATTAGCAGACAGATGCTGTTGCTCAGAGCATTCAGTGCAAAAAGATTCTTCTGAGGTTCGTAAGTCACACACTGATATGCGACCCCATGGCCCTCTGAAGACAAGATTTTGGAAGCCCTCTTAGGATCACCCTCCCTCCCCCACGGCACCTGGATGCCAAACTTCGGTGGATACTGCTGCGAAGCTTTAAGCTTCCCTGGCAAACCTGTGTAGCACTCACGTGCTCCTTTCCAGAATCGCCGCACAGTTTGCGACAGGTTCTTCTTTCGGTCCAGCTTTCTGTAAAGGTGCTGGATGAACCCATCGTCCGAAAACAGCTTTATCGGCTTAGGCGTCTCCGACCCAAACATGCCAAGCCACGTGATGGATTTCTGCGTGGCCCGGCTCTCCAAGAGCTGCTTCAGTCGAGGATGATTGTCAATCTCAGACATTTATGCTTTGCAAAACAAGCACGTGCAAACAGAACTAAGCCATGCACGTACACAGGCAAGCTGCTAGAGATTGCAGCGGGTTCTCGAGCATGAAGTGGCAGCCACGATAAAGGCACACCATTATTAGCAAGCATACCTCAGCAGCATCAGAACTTCAACTTCCTCCAGGCAAATCTTTTTGCTCACACAGCCAAAGATGCAACCAAGCCACACGGCTCACCATCTTGTTTGCAGATACGACGTAGCTTCGGCTCCTTGGAATACATCGTCGTAAATTTCGGTTTAGGACATGCATGGCGCCTTCATACAGAGTGGGACGTCATGTTGTAACCTTGCAGCAGACCAAGCAGCACATTGCCCAGCGGATTCTCAAGAGAGCGGCCGCTCGTATACACTAGGCTGGATTAGCACATGCTCGCGTGTTCAGATAAGGCAACTCAAGGCGTTCCAATCTTGTTTGCGGGAAAGTAGCTGTTCATTCTGCTCCATGACGAGCATACAACCCCGAAGGTTGCCAGGCCACCCTGGCGCAAACTCAGGATAGCCTTCAAGAAGCGGATGAAACCCAGAGGGCTGTTGATGTCCTTAGATAAGTGCTAACACAGCAGGGCTGTTATATTGTGCCAACAAAATCAGAGGCAAGCCTCATCCCTTGCGTCCAAGGCTATGTCGAGCGCCGTGGCTCGCAGCCCGGCAGACTTAAAGGCTTTCGATATGGAACGTTTCCCAGCAAAGAGGTCCGCCACGATGTACTTCCGGTCGATAGCAGTGACCTAAGCAAACTTTGCGTAAGCATAGTTGGCACGTGTTGATCTACGTAGATGTTCATGTCAGCTATTGTAGGTATAGTACATATGTGTTTATATATATATATATGTATCTTACTTATATTCGCACAAGTTCACAGAGGGAGGCAGGCCAATAGGTGCATGCTGTCTAGCGAGAACTACGACACCAGCAAATATCCAGACAAAAGTCTATCGACTTCGCATTGGGCGTTGTAGAACACATTATCTGCACTTATATATATATATATACACATATATATATATATATATGTACGTATACACAGGCATTGTACATAGTTCACATATACAGAGTCACATATGTACATTTTATACATAAGTATATATATATATATGCATGTAGATAGATGGTTGTAGATGTAGCTACGTACGTACACAATTATACATGCCTAGACAGAGAGGTAGTTCTCTTTGCAGGATTCATGTGGTTGCATTTAGTGGTATAATGGGCGCTGTGCACACTGTAGCTTGTATACAGCTACACCTGGGTCCAAAATCTAGCTACTGTATAAATACGAACAAGCTTTCGAAAGACAGGTAAGTTGATTTATATTACATGCGAAGCAGAATCCACATTGAAACCAGCTAGAGTGCTTTACACCACAATACGATGTAGAGGAGACTGGTAAGCCCGAAAGCCCGGTAATGTGTGTTCGAGCAAGACTTATCGTACCTAGCAATTCCGACGATTGCTTTCACACCTGCATATATGCTGCCAGTTTGCCGCACACAGCGCAGTGACGATGCGGAGCATGCGGTAGGGGATGTAACCGGGATGGTGGATCCCCTGCTGAAGCCGGCACTCCAGTCGACTCGTCATCTCCTCATCACTGTCATCTTCCATATCGAAGTCATTGAACCTCAGACACATACATCATGTACCGCAATGTAAGTCCAAAGACTCCACGTTCACATATCTGCCACATCTGAATCAAGCAACTGCCGTGCCCTCCGAAGCATCCTGAAGCAACGAAGCTGGCCCAATCAAAGGTGAACGTGGCCGACCCTCGGCCAGCGACTGCCAAACAGCTACGATGACGGACGACAGGCTTGGGGCACTTGCGGTCAATGCACACTAGGATCACAAGCATACACACTCCAGACAATTCGAGCAGGATGGAGTCTCGTACTTTTCGGCGGGAGGGATCGTGTGCGGGAGTGCTTGTGGTAGTCCACACCAGCTACAGCCCCTACTAGGCTAGTCCTAGTCGAAGATAAAGATGCACAGCTGTCTGTGCGATGCTGACACAGCGCTCTGCATGCATCCCGATGCTGAGTTGTATTTGGCACGAAGTATTGCAAAGGAGTGCATATACGCTGAAACACATTTTGCGTTAGCGAGACGCATGCTTCGCAACTGCGTCATCCCAGTCCGTGCTGTGCACGGATACCAAAAACAAGCTTGCAGGGCTTCCATTGTTTTATCAGTACTTTGCATAATCTACGGGATTTGGTGGTATACAAACTTATAACACATACACCTTGCAAGCCATCCCTGGAGAAAGGTGCAGGTCCTTCGGCTGCACCATTGAAATGCTTGCTGCTTCTCCCTGCAGGTCCTACCTAGGGCTTCGCGGCTTGCGAAAAGATCCAATCCAGTCCTGGCGAACCTTGCCCAGCAACCTGAAATCATTAGCTGCTCCTCGTGCCCGATCTTTTGCCTTGTCCAACGAGAGTCCATCACGAGACATCGCCAGCCTGTACACATTGCTGTATATGTTGTTGGATGAAATATGTGACGGCGGCTTGATCATCCGAGCGGTCTCCAAGTCATCCTGGCGCAACAACATAGCATGCATGATGCAGGTGCATGCAGTGTGTACGCACATGTATACAGCTTCTATAATAGTTGATGCACGTAGAATGTCTCTGCTCGTGCCTGGCGTGGCTTGCTCTTTGTCTTCGGAACGGCCTTTGCTTTGCCCTTCGGCTTCGTCTTGCTGGCTGTGGGCTTGGCTGCTATCTCTGAGTCTGGCTCGGCCTCAACCTCCAAGATCTCGTCCTCCTCGGGGTCTTCCTCCTCGTTCTCCTCGTAGGGGACATTGTACTGGTAGACGGTGCCCTGGCAGTCCACGAACCTGTTCTTCCCGATCCTTCGCAGACCCTTCGCCGGGCCCGATTTCATCAAGCGACCAGCCTTTGCACCCTCACAGGCACCATGATGCTCCTCGTCCACCATTTCCTCTGCTTTCTTCTTGCCTTTCTTGGTGACTGCTGGCTCCTCGCCCTTGCTTTCATCGATTTTGCTCTTGTCCTTCTTCTGGGCTTTGCGCATGACCTCGTTGTCCTCCGTCTCCTCGCACGCTTTCTTTTTGCCTTTCTTGGTGACTACCTCGGGCTCCTCCTCCTCCATTTCCTCTGCTTTCTTCTTGCCTTTCTTGGGGGCTGTCTCGGGCTCCTCCTCCACTTCCTGGGCTTTCTTCTTGCCTTTCTTGGGGGCTGTCTCGGGCTCCTCCTCCTTTTCCTGGGCTTTCTTCTTGCCTTTCTTGGGGGCTGTCTCGGGCTCCTCCTCCTCCTCCACTTCCTGGGCTTTCTTCTTGCCTTTCTTGGGGGCTGTCTCGGGCTCCTCCTCCTCCTCCTTTTCCTGGGCTTTCTTCTTGCTTTTCTTGGAGGCTGTCTCGGGCTCCTCCTCCTTTTCCTGGGCTTTCTTCTTGCCTTTCTTGGGGACTGTCTGGGGCTCCTCCTCCTCCTTTTCCTGGGCTTTCTTCTTTCCTTTCTTGGGGACTACCTCGGGCTCGTCATCCTCCACTTCCTGTGCTTTCTTTTTGCCTTTCTTGGGGGCCATCTGGGGCTCGTCCTCCACTTCCTGGGCTTTCTTTTTGCCTTTCTTCGGGCCTACTGGGGGCTCCTCTTCGTTCTCCTCTGCTTTTTTCTTGCCTTTCTTGGGGGCTACCTCGGGCTCCTCCTCCACTTCCTGGTTTTTTTTCTTGCCTTTCTTGGGGACTACCTCGGGCTCCTCCTCCATTTTCCTTCTCCCTGTCTTTGTTGCGGCATTATTCCTCGGCTTCGGCTTTTCCTTGCGCTCTTCGGACGATCCTTCACCGCATCCATCATCATGGTCATCATCCTCACTCATGGCCCTGGCTTTGCCAGGCTTGCCTGCGGCGACCTCGGCATCGCTTTTTTTCTTTTTTTTCTTGTCTTCCTCCTGAATGCATGTAGAAAGAGCACACAGCATGAGCAGATCCGAACCAAGGTTATATATGTTCATATGTAGATTAACGTGCGCAGCTACGTGACCCCCTGCCTGAGCTTCCTCTTGCGCCGCACGGGTACACATGTCTTCCATATCTTCGATGACTTCATCTGCGTGCACCGGCTCCTCCTCGAAATCATCCTCCTCCTCCCCAGCTTTCCTTTTTGTTCCTCTTTTTTTCTTCCGGGTTCCTGCCTGGTCCTCATACCTGGGCGGGGAAGCATCTCGAACTAAGTTCTCCACTTTCCTCACGACGTGCGCTGGGGGATCTTCCAATGGATACTTGTACAACTTTTGAGGCTCCTGCTCCTCCTTGCCTCCCTTCAGTTCCTCCTCCTCAGGCCTTTTCGCATCGCTCCTCCTTGTGACGTCCTCTGCCTCGCACATGCAAGCACAGAACCACATGTACAGGACATCGCCGCAGATGAAGCACTGATTCCTTAACCCCTCAAGCTCTCAAATATGCCGAAAGATAAACCCCCCCCCCCTGGCCGGAGGCAGCGCTTCTTCTGGCACGGACTTCTCGTCGGCCGCTGGCAGCGGCGGCTCCTGGTGATACGGTATTATATAGAGGTTCATGAAGGGTTTTTGTAATATCTATACAAATATAAATAGGGCAGGGTTTGGGGTGTCCATGGACAACAACCCTACGTTGAACTCACCCGGCTATCTAATGTACAGACTTTTATAAGCACATATATACAGTTTATACATCTAACTAGATGATGAAACAATAAGTTTTATTGTTACGCACAGGCATAGACATACCCCTAGATGACCCAATCATTCCCAAATCTGAGAAGCCTTTGGCAAAAGCACAGGGGAAGGAGCTTTCGGCATAGCCTCCATCAGGGAGGAACTTGGTTTCACAGCACAACGAAGCTTCGATTCATGACGACCGCAAAATGTGCGACCGCGAGCCTGTTCTGGAAGAGCCGCTTCTTTCGAAGTTACCTGAAAGGGGAAGCTGAGCAGGACTTTGGCCTACCCTAGGGGTTGCACATGCAAGAATAAAAACATGCGATATGCATGCCTTCGGCGGAGGGGATTCTCCATAAAGCGACTTGTGGACAATCCTGAACATCCTCTGAAGATCTTCAGGTGCTGCAGCATTCATAGACTTCTGGAAAGCTTCGGGGTCGGCTTTCAATGCCGTGGCTGACTGCAGCATATACTCGCGGTCGGCATGGTTACCTTGCATGCATGTAAGTGCAGAATCATTTCAAGAACCGTAGAAACAAATCACACGAATCCTTGTAACACCCAGCTTTAAAGAAACAATCTGGCAGAGACAGAGACAGAGAGAGAGCGAGAGGGACCCACCGAAAGCAAAGTTAAAACTAATCAGACAGATTCGTAGATGCACACTGACATAGTTACGTAAAGTCACATAGATATAGATAGATAGAACTATCATGAACAGAGGAGATAGATAGAGACAGAGAATGAACACAAGCAACAGTTGTGGTCTGTTCTCATCTCGGTCCAGATTTCTCTACGCATCCTGAAACGTGAGTCTATTGTCGTGCATGCACCTCTCTGTCTGTCTCGGTCTTTCTGATAGCGACTCCTCCTTATATAAAGGACACACTGCTTCCGAGGATCGCTTCTGCGTGTGCAAAATCTGCACCATCTCAGCACACACTGGCACGTTGTTGCCACCAGAGCTTGCGCTTTCAAACTCTGGGGCCAGCCGCTTGCGCACACCGGGGCTCACCTGGGGAACGTCATCGGCAGGGCGGGGCACATCTTCTCCCGTACAGTAAACTTCCGTAGGCGGCGGAGGCGGTGGCATACTACCGCATTCTGTTGGGATAACCTGAATCACAAATCTTCCCAAGAACACCGCATGTGACATGACCTGTGTGCAAACTCTGCGAAACAACATTTAAGACAAGCACCTGTGTCTCCATGGTATCCATGCTTACGGCAGCGGGTGGAGGGGGCACAACACCTGCATCCACAAGCTCCTTGGCCGCGACCCACTCCTGAAACAGGGTGACCTCTGTGGTCAAGTCGGCGCCTTCCTGTCCCCACTGTTCGGCAGCAACACCGACCTCAGAACAGAAAGACTGGAACAGCGGGTGGCCCAGCATTTGCTGCGATGCCGTTCTGCTCGCAGCTTCCATCTTCTCAGTCTCATCCAGCCACTTCATGAATGCTTCGTTGTCTGCAACGACTTTGTCGATATATGTAAAGACCTTGTGCATCTTTGTGAAACAAACAGTTTCGTGACACTTCGACACAACATGCCAGACTAAATCATGCAGTCGAGAAACTTCCTCACCATGATCCTTCATCAGGGCCCGGTACTGCTCGAACTTCGGGTGGCTTCGGCAAGCCTTATTAAAAGTATAGGGTTTATGGAGGTTATGGAGCGCCTATACCAGCTGGTGCGGCCCAAGCCGCATGAAACGTGGTCCACCATTTCTGGCTGTAATCATACGGCGGAGCCTTCAATCTCACTTCCCATGCATGCTATACATGCTGTGGCCGCTTTGTCTTACATCTGCACAGCACACATCTTGCATTACCGCACTTCGCGCAGACAAAACAACCGCGGGCCTTAGGGCTGGGTTCGACGTGTGGCGGCAGACCGGGAGGAGACGCCATTGCAACCGCAAGCAGCTCTACGTCTGACTCGGATTCGATTTCCCATACTTCCGTGCTCAGAAGCACTTTATGCTGCTCTTTCTTCTCCTTCTTCACAACGTGGACATGCTGTTTCACGGATTCTGGTGCATTCTTCTTCTTCTTGCTCAAGGTAGGCCGAAGCCTACGTGGGTTGACCCGCAAGACGGCTTGCAGCTTCAAAGCAGCCTCGTTGCCACATTTAGACACATGTCAAAGCCATGCTGGCATGCACACTGAAAGCACATGCGAGAATCAATCAGTGAGGCAAAGCTCATATCAATGATAAGGTGCATCTGTTCCGCTGCATCTGGCCAGGCTCTTGCGCCAGTACCGTCGCGCATACGACAATAGCCCAAACAAAGCATCTGTTTCCTTGCTATGTGCGCAAAAACCCGACGTATCCGTTGCTCAACACAGCGACACAACATGCACTCATGCATGTTTAAATGCGGCTGAATAACACCCTTGGCCCACTGCCTTTTCTCTTTCAGGGACCTAGCATGACTGAGGTGGAACCCACATTCTTCATCCATTTTGAGGAACACCATTTGTAGATCTGTCATACAGAACTCGCCTTAGCCCAGCTGGTGCGATTGACACGAATGCTGTTGCCAGTGTAAGGTAGCAAAAGCCTCGGAATCAGGTCAAGAATCCCTCGGGCGACAATTGAAAAAGCGCAAGCAGCAAGTCCATATACTTCTCCATGTCGTCAAACGAGATGTTACATGGATTCTCCAGCTCGTGCAACAATGTGTTGAGAGGCTTTTCTGTACGCGAGCAACGTAGGAATGCACTGCCAGGTAGAAAAGTCTTCAGAGCGCCTTTGATGATGCTCATGACGCTCGCCCATTGCTATCACTGAACGCGCAACGCGATATTTAACATCGTACAAGGTGCCCGCGATGCTGTCAGCGTCCACTCTCGGCATGGCTGCATTGGGCTATGTTTCGATGTCCCTTTGCTGTTTTGGTAACCTTATTGTATCTCTCTCTTTCCTTCTCTCTCTCTCTCTCTCTATTTGTTCCATATAAGCCAAACAAGCTTTGGCAACTTGCTGGCACACATGCCGCACACATCAGAAGCAGCACACATGAGCAGTCCTTGACTGATGCCGCGCGGCATTTCCCATGTGGCCACGAAGCCACTCTTGTGTCAACATGTCGCCGAGGCTACGGCCAGAAATGTCAGGAATATGACTGAATTCTTATGTATCTGCTGCACTGATGCACTAGGATGCACGCTACTGGGGCCCTGGGGCCTTCGGGCCCTCCACGGCTGTTGCAAGCGACCCTTCGCCAAGAAAGCCCAAGGCCCAGACCCTTGGCCCAGAAAGACCGACCCTTGCCCCACAAAGCCCAGCGAGCATCAGGGTAGGGTTTAGGTTTAGGGTTTAGGGTTTAGGGTTTAGGGTTTAGGGTTTAAGGTAGCTACATTACTTACAAACACATTGTGACCTTACTTAGTGCTACGACGCCCCAAGCCCCAAACTCTAGACCTGAAATCTTGAGCCTTACACGCTAGACCCTGAACCTTGAACCCTAAACCACGAACCCGTCCTAAACCCCCACAAAACCCCAAAACCTTAAACTCTAAACCCTACACCCTAAAACCGTACCCCAAACCCCTAAAGCCCTAAACCCTGAAGCCCTAAAGCACTAAAGCCCTAAACCCTAAAACCCTACACCCTAAAGCCCTAAAGCCCTAAAGCTCTAAAACCCCCAAAAAAGGCCCCGGTCTCCCAAGGCCCTCCCTGGAAAAGCGACTGAAGCATGGTCAGCTTCGCAGCAGAGAGCTCTGCGAAGCCGCCGGCCTGGATTTAGGGGCTTTCGGGATTTAGAGTTTAGGGCTTAGGGCCTGGATTTAGGGGCTCTAATATAAAGGCTTGAATAATTGCCTATACTATTTTTTTTTTTTTTTTGGGG